CTTGATCCCTGAACTTTGACACTAGCCTGATAGTGAGACCCCATCTCTACAAAGAGACCAGATAGTAGATCCCTATATATGGGGGGCTCTGAGAATGCTTTAGTTCTGAACATCTACTGTTGTACATTTGTTTTTGTTTTTGTTTTTTTGTTTTGGAGTCCCACTCTGTCGCCCACGCTGGAGTGCAGTGGCCTGCTCATGGCCACCGCAGCCTCGACCTGCTGGGCTCAGGCGATCCTTCCTGCTCAGCCTTCCAAGAAGTTGGAACCACAGGCACGTACCATCACGCCTGACTAATTTTTTTGTTTATTGTAGAGACAAGGTCTCGCCAAGTTGCCCAGGTTTGGTGCAAACCCGTGGGCTCAGGCAGTCCTCTTGTCTCGGCCTCCCATAGTGCTGGGATTACAGTCATGAGCCACCATGCCCGGCCATTGTTGTACATTTGTATGATTATAGTATACATCACACATTTGGCAAAAATTTGTATTCATTAATTCATTTATTTTCCAGCACATTTATTCTAATTTAGAGTCTTGGGTGGCCATAGGCTGTCCTGGCAGCTAAGTGTGAAAGGCCGGGACCAACTTTGGACAGGACACCATTCTGTCACAGGATGCACTCACACACACACACACTACTCAGAGGGGGACAATTTAGACAGCCAATGAACCGAAAGTGCACATCTTTGGGAAGTGAGAGGAAACCAGTGTACCCAGAGATGACGCCTGCAGACATGAGGAGAATGTGTGAGTGCCACACTGGCCGTGGGCCCAGCAGGAAACTGAGTTTTTTCTCATCAACATTATAATAAAACCACATTGAGCCACATTATTTGAGGACCTGCAATACTTATAAAACGCATGTTTAACTTGTATAAAACTATACTGTTGTTTTAATTAAGTTTTTATAGTTTTTATTTATTTTTTTTTTGGGTTGGAGTCTTACTCCATCGCCCAGACTGGAGTGTAGTGGCACGCTCATGCAACCTCAGTGTCAACCTGCTGGGCTCCGGCGATCCTTCTGCCTCAGCCTTCCGAGTAGCCAAACTACAGACGCATGCTACCATGCCCGGCTAATATTTTATTTGTTACAGAGATGAGGTCTCGCCAAGTTGCCCGGGCTGGTCTCGAACCCATGGGCTCAGGCAGTCCTCTCGCCTCGGCCTCCCAAAGTGCTGGGATGACAGGCTGAGCCACCAAGCCTGGCTACAAACATGCATTTTTATCCTCCTGAATCTCAAATAAGAAAAGAAAAATAAATGAGACGTAACTATGAAGCCCTTCTACTGGCATGATGAAGTAACAGTGGACGTCTGGATGGGAAGCCCTTGAACAACCATTTGAGTGTCTAGTTCAAATTTTTAGTTTAAATTTCTTTCGTTCTTTCTTTTTTGAGTAGGAGTCTCACTCTGTTGCTCACTCTGTGCTCAGGCACACTCATGGCCATTGCAGCCTCGACCTGCTGGGCTTAGGCAATCCTTCCACCTCAGCCTTCCAAGTAACAGGAACTACAGGCACATGCCACCAAGCCCAACTAATTTTTCGATTTATTGTAGAGATGAGGTCTCACCAAGTTGCCCAGGCTGGGATCTCCTCTTTTTCTCTCTCTCTTTCTAATTTACTTTATAGGTAAACTATATTTTCTAATCTAAAAAAATTAATAAATAAAAAAATTTAAAAGCCTGCTAATTCAGTTTTCTGTTGTTGGAACATTCAGGTTTCCATGCCTGGATTCGATGTGTAAAATTTTCTTAGTAGATGTCAGAAACGCAACTTCGGAGCCTAAGGATATGAATATATATATATATGTATATATATATATATATATATTCTTCCGAGTTGGAGTCTCACTCTGTCACCCAGACTGGAGTGCAGTGGCCGCTCCCGGCCACCGCAGCCTTGACCTGCTGGGTTCTGGCGATCCTTCCGCCTCAGCCTTCTGAGTAGCTGGAACTACAGGCGCGCGCTACCATGACCGGCTAATAATTTTTTGATTTATTGTTGAGATGAGATCTCGAACCCGCGGGCTCAGGCAATCCACTCACCTCAGCCTCCCAAAGGCGCGGTATTACAGGCTGAGCCACCGAGCCCGGCTTATTATTTTTTTTAGTTGGAGTCTCATTTTGTCACCCAGGCTGGAGTGCAGTGGTACGTACACTCATGGCCGCCCCAACTTCAACCTGCTGGGCTCTGATGATCCTTCCACCTCAGCCTTCCAAGTTGTCGAACTACAGATGCATGCTACCACGCCCAGCTAATATTTTATTTATTGCAGAGACAAGGTCTCGCCAAGTTACCCAGGCTGGTCTCGAACCTGCAGGCTCAGGCAATCCACTCGCCTCAGCCTCCCAAAGTGCTGGGATAACAGGCTGAGCCATTGACTGACCGGTATGAATATTTTTTTTTTTTTTTTTTGAGTTGGAGTCTCACTCTATCGCCCAGACTGGAGTGCAGTGGCCGTTCCCGGCCACCGCAGCCTCCACCTGCTGGGCTCTGACGATCCTTCCGCCTCAGCCTTCCAAGTAGCCGGAATTACAGGCATGCGCTGCCATGCCCGGCTGATTTTTTTATTTTATTGTAAAGATGAGGTCTTGCTGCCCAGGTGGGTCTCGAACCCGCGGGCTCAGGCAATCCACTCACCTCAGCCTCCCAAAGGCGCGGGATTACAGGCTGAACCACTGAGCCTGCCTCGGTATGAATGTTTTTTACAGGTTTATCTATGTAGTGTCAAATTGTCCTCCAGCTATGTGGCATTTATTGATATTCTTATTACCAGGTATGGGCATGCCCATTTCGTTTTGGTTGAATATTGCCAGCATCCCAGATCACTGAACATCAGTAGAGTTGCAAAGTTGGAAATCAAGTTAAAGTTATCCCGACTTTTTAGAATATTTAGAGTTTCTTTATTATGATGTTTAAAATAACTTTGAGATAGACTTATGAGAGTATTTGTAAATTCAGAGCAGGTGATAAAATCTCTTGTTTTGATTTCTGAGAGGGAAACACTAGAAAGGGGAGATCCCAAATCTATGGTATGACTCAACAGTTCAAGGCTTGTTAGAAAACAAAGGACGCATCTTTAAATAGTGTTGTGGTCAGAGACATTGAGTTATATGAGGAAAGTTTTCCTTTTGTAAAATCACAGCCCGGAGGAAATAGACTTCTTAGGAGTCGGTTTTGCCTCTTACAATAAAAACACAAGGAAACTGCTCTCCTGGCCTCCTTGTCTCCCTTCTGGCTTTCCCTGTACCCAAGCTCTTCTCTTCTGTCCTAATGAGACCACTTGAGTGCATATACTTAGGTTGGCTTTTCTCACAACCTTGGTCTCTCAAGGAACTGAGAGGAGATTGACAAAGCTGAAAGGGAGTTATAGAAATGAAACTAGTCTCTGTCTCTCCTGTTTTTCTATTCTTTACCTTAATCAACCCATACTTAAGTTTAAAATCTTTTAATATTTCTCTTAGATACTTTTTAGTTTCTCTTACTGAAGAACATGATATATAAAACCATCTTTTGCAATTACATGACATAGACTATATCTCTGAAGTCATATTCATTTGAGAATCTCCAGAAATTCTATGTGTACAACTTGACGAAACTTCTCAGTGTTGTTGGGCTTTCTTGTGAAAGGCATTCAAATGAAGCCACAATTTCACTCTCAGGAAACAAGTTGAAACCTAACAGTTTTACTACAAATTGGAACATCCTAAATGAAATACCATGCAATTGTAAACAAGAATGAAGAGGATCTCTTTGGGCCAATATGAAAAAAATTCTAAGATTCACTTATTGAATGAAAAAAGGCAAGATTGGGAATAGTGTGCCTAGGATGCTATCCTATAGGTAAAATGAGGAAGAATATAAATATATATTTGCACTTGCTTGCTGCTGCATACATTCTAGAAGAATGTACAAGAAACTAAACACAATGGTAATCTGTTTAGACAGGAGAAAGAAAACTAGCCAGATTGCAGGTAGGTAGAAGCAAGATTTTTATCTCTTGTTTGTTTGTGAATGTATTATGTTTTTGGTTTTTTTTTTTTTGAGTTGGAGTCTCACTCTGTCGCCCAGACT